ATTGTTGTAAATGGAAACCACCTCAAGAAAAAGGAGAAAAACCCAAATTCAGTACGTTATCTTTCAAATTCAATACGTTTTTATTGCCATTTCAGTACTTTAATTTTTGTACTTCTGGCAACACTGCTTTCATATGTCAATCTTTTATCATTTGTGCACAAATCAGACGAGACGCTAAATGCCACTGGCGGTTCCTCTTACTGCGCATGATCGCTTAATTGACAAATGTGCCGCGATTGAAAATGTTAAAGGCACGTTAGTTACGTTATAATTATAATCCGTAGATAGGTCAGATGGTAGGGCGGTCGCTTGGCAAGCGAGAGGTCCCGGGTTCGATACTAAGAAGCTGTCGAACTTTTTTTATTATTTTATTTCATAAATTTTTTGTTTCTTTGTTAAACCGTGTTCGGTTGGGTTGGGTGGGTTGGTTGGTTTGTTTTAGTTTTATAGTAACATAAAATCTACTAGAAGTTGTCGAACTTTTTTTATTTCATAAATTTGTTGTTCCTTTGTTAAAAAGTGTTTTATTTTTATCGTAACATAAATTTGCCCATTTTAAATGGATTTTTTGCTCAATGGGGCGGGGGGGGGGGCCCCAATGGGGCGGGGTCGGTTGGGTTGTGTTGTTGAGTTTGGGTTGGTTTGGTTTTATGACGTAACTAACGTGCCTTTAACATTTCGAATCGCGGCACGTTTGTCAATTAAGCGATCATGCGCAGTAATAGGAGCCGCCAGTGGCATTTAGCGTCTCGTCAAATCAGAGATATGGCTATCTCTGGCACAAATAAATAAAGATTTTTTTTTGAATTTTGTGTTGTCTGCTGAAGCAGACAGGTGCATGGTTGGAATGAACTACAAGATGAACAATAAAAAATGTATACATGAGGGACAAACTGGTACAAAATTTTTAATGGTTAAGAGAATTATATGGATGATTGTAAAAGTGTAATGTTGTGTATGATGATTAGTAATTTTGGACAATGTATGTATTGAAAAGAAACGAAGAAAGAAAATGGACATATTAATAAATAAACAAGAATACCTATATCGAAAAACAAGTGTGAAAAAATTTTAGCTTTTAATTAAGCTAAAGGTCATTACCCCTGAACACAGTGCATCTGTGTTCAGATTAAAGAAGAAGAAGAATAAAGATTTTACATACAATAGTCCACAATGTGGATTGTGCAATGGGAGTGACTAGTGCACTGTCTAGACAGTGCGCTATAAAAAATACCTGCACTGTCCAGACAGTGCAGTTTAAAAAATACCTACACTGTCCAGACAGTGCAGCATAAAAAATACCTGGACTGTCCATGGTTAAAAATTCTGCATTTTGCAGTGTCTGCCAGACACTTAAGCGCCATTCATAAGTTTTCAATTTGCGTTGGCGGTTACTAGAGTCTACAGACCATACACAAAGGCTTTCGATCTCGCACATGCGCTTTGGTTTATCAGCTGATCTACTGTTAATCAACTAAAATGGGCAAAAGTGAGCGAAACCAACCAAAACCAACCCAAACTCAACAACACAACCCAACCGACCCCACCCCATTGGCCCCCCTCCGCCCCATTGGTCAATACACATGCATGCATTTATAAAGCACATTATGAATGTATTTTTAATGATGTAACTTTCAGCTCCAACCGCCAACTGAGAGTTTATGAATCGTATATTATTCATTTTATAGTATTTACAATAATAAACACAAAACAGAATCTAATAAAAACCTACTTAAACAAATCAGACACCGTGACATAACCAAAGCAGTGTTTTGCGTATATCGCGTATATCAGAGAATATTGCACAGTGCAGGTATTTTCTATAGTGCACCGTCTAGACAGTGCAGGTATTGCTTATAGTGCACTGTCTAGACAGTGCACTAGTCACTTCCTTGTGCAATAGTCATTTAAAGTCTGTGTATTCAAGAAAAAAAGATGAGCAGTGATTTAATTATGTGTATGAATTTGTTAAGAAAAAAACTCATAAGAGATGGTTTGTTTATAAGAACCGGATGGATCCAGAAAAAGACCGTTAATTTTAATTACTGAATTACGAATATATGCTGTGATACAGAAATTAAGGCAGAAAATAGTTTTTTAAAAGAGGCAAACTCGATTTTTTCTGAATTTTATGAAGAAGAATCTCCATTTAAAAGAACGACATCAAAAATTAATATGAAGTTACAATTAAGTTCCAAAACACTGGAAATGGATATACACGACAGATGTGTTAAACTTCAAAGGGAATTATTGACACACATCGAGGAGTTATTAATACCCATCGGGTGTATGCATGGAGGTCCGAGTAAATTACAGTTTATTAATAATATAAATACATTAAAACAATTTAGAGATATATGTACGCTTAGGCATTAGTACAGGACTAAAGCAAAAATGCTGAAAAAAATGTACAAATGTAATAAAACTAAAAGGGTATAAGTTTAACTATGTTTTATTTTTAATACAAATGCTGTTATCTGTTAGTAGGTATATTATATTTTTATTTGTACGTACCTATTTAAACAATTTAAAATAATTTTATTTTATAATCATTATTAATAATAATAATAATAATAAAGGACTTTATTGATTAAAATACAGAATGACAGTTGTACAATATTTAAATACAGGGCGAGATTTAGTTCTTACACACTCCAAACTACTGCCTAGAGCATGTAAGTCTATTCTTACATCTAACCCTAAGGGAAAAACAAAAAAGAAAAGAAATATCTAACAAAAATAAAAAAAAACAAAAATAATCATATAGCTACATAAATAATAAGTTATCTAACTAAGCGTCAATACATAATATTTCTGTGCAATTATCTTTTTACTAGTGTACCTACATAACTAGTGAAGAAGGAAACACGTAAAAAATTGGATAAAGAGAGACGAACTTAATAAAAACTATGTATATTCAGGCGTTTTTTAAAACACTTTCACGGATTTGGCTTTTGAATTGATGAATTTTTAAGTTAAAAGGGTTAAATTTTAATTTATTAAATAAGTTGGCTATTTGATACGAAAATGATCGTTTAAGCAATTCAGTGCTATGCTTTGGAAATGCAAGGGAGTGCTTATGACGCAAATTCAAATTGTGAATCTCTGAACGAAATTTAACTTTAGTGTAGAGGTAAGTAGGTTTTTGGTAAACTAGAATTTTAAAAAATGTAACTGCAGAATGTAGGTACCTACGATCTTCCATATTTAACCAATCTGTGTGCTTTAATGTATGACTAATGTGCTGGTTTCTTCGAATTCCATGTATTAGCCTGAGACAAGAATTTTGAATTTTTTGAATACGATTTTTGTCAAATAAGGTTAAACAAGGACCATATATTACATCACAAAAGTTAAACTGTGATAAAACCAATGAATCACACAGCATAATTTTATGTTTTTTACTAAGATATTCCCTACTTTGATATATAAACCGAAGGTTTAAATAAGCCTTACTCAAACACTTGGAGATATGTTTTGTGAAACGCATTTCATGGTCAATAGTTAGGCCCAGATTTTTGGCATCATCCTGAAACTTAAGGGCGGTGTTATTCATGTGAATTGCATCAGTATACTCTTGTAAAAAGTGCCCTCTTTGATTTTTTTGACCAAATATCATTAAGGTAGATTTGCTAGTGTTTAATACAAGACAATGTTTTTTTGAAATCTCATAAATATTATTTAAATCAAAATTTAAGGCTGCAACGGCTTGGGAAGATTCTTCTGGCTTAAAAGAAATTGTAAATTGACTATCGTCTGCATAGTAATGTAATTTAGCAGAAGTGCAAGCAAAAATAAATTGAGAGATGTAAATTATAAACAGCAGTGGACCTAAAATTGACCCTTGGGGGACGCCACCTTCTACTTTTCTATATGATGACATATTTTTATTATATATAACTGCCTGAAATCTTTCATTTAGATAGTCAATAAGTAGGTTGATTGCTGCATCAGATAGACCTATGTAGTGTAAAATAGCTATGAGAGTTTCATGGTTTATACAATTGAACGCCTTTGTGTAATCGAGCATACCTAGAATGGTCAAGTATCCCTGATCTGATGCAGCGAATATATCATCACTAATATTTAATAAGGCCGTACAACACCCAAGGCCAGGCTGAAACCCAGACTGCGTTGCAGGAATAATATTGTTTATTTGTAAATATTTCAGCAGCTGTATTTGAATAACCTTTTCCAAAATTTTAGAGAACGTTGGCAATATGCAAATAGGACGAACATGGTCTAGGGTAGTAGGATCAGAATTTTTGGGTAACGGTATAACCAAAGCTTTCTTCCAGCAGGAGGGGAATACAGAATTTTTTAAACAGTAGTTAATGATATGAGTAATATAAGGCAGAATAAAGGGGGTGCATAGTTGAATTGTTTGAATATTTATTCCATCACATCCCACAGCTTTGGTTTTAATTTGGTTTAATAGTTTAGAGACTTCCTGCTCTGTAACCTCAGTAAATGTTAGTTTGGGCGCGTTGGGATTCGCATAATTATTATTATAAAAATTTACTGTGACGTCATCTTTTTGCAAGTTGGGTACAGAGTCTAAAAAATAATTGTTTAGTATTTCAACATTAGAAAGATTATCTGGTATGCATGATGTTTTTTTATTTAAGATATTTAATTTTTTTAATTTGCTCCAAACGTTATTGGAATTACAACCACCCAGCTCGGAATTATAATAAGCTTTTTTCTCATTTTTTACTGCCAGAGAGACCGTATTCCTTAAATTTTTGTAAGTATCCCAGTCAACCATGTTTTTATATTTTTTATATCGACTAAGAGTCCTGTCCCTTTCATTCATCATTTCTCTTATATTTACAGTAAGCCAAGGCGCATATTTTTTAGTAATACGCTTGGTTATAAAAGGTGAGTGAATATCTAAAATCGTAGTTATATTATCATTTATAAATTTAATTTTATCGTCGATATTATTAATGTCATAAATATTCCGCCAAGGCAGTGACTCTAAATCATATTTAAATTGCGTTGGATTAAAGTTTACAAAATCCCTATAAGTTTTATAAGTTGGTATGTTACGTTCTTTTTTAAATTTTAATTTGCAAAAGAGAAGTTCGTGATCAGTATGAATGTCAGTAGATACTACAGTTGGTTCAGATAATATACTCACATTAGAAGTGAGAATGTAATCTATCAGGGTAGCGGACGTCCCAAAAATTCTAGTAGGTTGATTAATTATTTGCTCAAGGCCCAAACCATCAAGAGTCTGCATTACAAATTTTGACTCACTGTTAGAGGCTAATAAATCGGAGTTAAAATCGCCAAGGCATATTACGTCATTTGCATGTAAAATTATGTTGGAAAAAGTCAACTCAAACAGCTCCCAAAACCTAGTATAACTTATTTCTTGAGATCGATAGACTACACCTATTGCAGTGACATAATTTTGATTTTTAATACAAAGCCAAATTTGCTCTAAGTTACCACCAATTTGTAAAATTGTGAATTTTAGTCCCACCTTAATATAAATCCCGACTCCCCCGCCCTGCCTATTTCTATCACAACGAATAAGACGATAGCCATCTATATTAATTGATTCTGTGGGTATAGAAGTATCAAGACGCGTTTCATTTAGCGCACAAATGTCAAAATTATTTGCTAATAAAGTATTTTTAAAGTCCGTAAAGTGTCCAACTAGTGTTCTAACATTTAAATGCGCAATTTTTAGTGTTTCCATAGCACTAAAGTTTAATTTGAAAATTTAAAGGTACATTGTTTATGCTATCTTAATCTTAATATAGTAATAGATGTATAGGTATAACAAGAACGATTAACAAAAAAAAAGATTTCGAAAGATATAAGATTTTAATAACAGAAAAAATTAAATTGACTTGTTTAGTTAGAATATAAAGGATTAATTTGATATTAAGTAAAATTTAAATTGAAAAGAAACACTTAAGGTAAAATAAACAATCATTAGGTATCCGTACCGCCAATAAAAATAAATAAGTACATTTTTTATGCGAGTTCATTCACATTGAGTTAAAGTAAACAAATAATTAAATCTATGTTTTTTTATAAATCTTTTTTTCACTATTTTCAAAAACCATGACTTTTCCATCAACAGTCCAGGTATTCTTAAATCCGAATTTTTCACACGCTTCCTTGTAGAGAGCCAGTTGTTCCTGCGTTAAGTCTTCTTTGATTGAAATGCCGGTGCCCTGTAGCGATTTTTTGTTAGTGTAAATCTGCCATTTTACTTTGTAGTTCGAAAATTGCACAAGGACGCCCCTCGGTTTATCTTGGTTTGATTTATTCACCTTGCCTATACGGTGACATCTATCGATTTTAGACCTTAAATCAATGTTTAATTTCGTTTTACAGATTTCGATAAATTTTTCTTCAACATTTTCGGAACTTGTCTCTTTCATACCAGATATGCGTAAATTCGAACGTCGTGTGTACTGTTCAATGTTATTGGTTTTTTGTTTATATTTTTTTTCCAATTCTACATGTCTTTCATTTAATTCTGTATATTTATTTTCCAAACTTATACAATTTTCACTGACCTTTTTGAGCTCATCCTGCATCCCAGCTAATTTTTGCTCCAATAGAGTTGTGATAGAGTTTGCCAATGAAGTAACTAGGACAGCTAAAATTTCCTTTTTTTGAAATGCACTAAGAAGAATCTCCTCAACATCTTGGGTTAGCTGTTTTGTAATCATTTTCGCACAGATAACTTTAAACTTTTATATCACTATAATTAGATACTCAGTAAGTACACTTTTAGCTTTATAGAATTGGAAATAACTTTAATACTTGGTATTTTTATTCGCGGCGCGTAAAGACACCTATTCTCTTTCCGCCATGTTGTTTTTCTCTAATATATGTGGGTACTAGGTATACATACCTAGTATATGATTTGTATTTATCTAAACTGCGCACCACTCAATGTGTCGCGACCAAAAATTTGGTCCATTTTCAAAACGACATAACTTTTTTATTTCTTGAACGATATTATTTTGGTTTGTGATGTCTGCTAGCCCCATTCTCTGGCAATTCATGCTATAGATATAAAGCTCACGGTTCTTCAAGTAAATTTACTACAGGGTGATATGTAAAACAGTGAAAAATTTCAATAACTTCATCCAAGCCCCGTTTGTAAAATAAATATTTTTTTCTCGTTTTTACTTTGAAATAATGAAGTATTATGTCTTACCTTGAAACGTTTTTCAATTTTTTCGAATTGGAATCTTAGCAACAAAAATATGATTTTTTTTCAATGGAGTACATTTGATGCTTTTTTGTAGGCAATACACTTAGCCTTTTTAAGAACAAAAAGATAAGATGGCGAAAGATTGTTCCTTGAATAATTTTGAACAAGCGACAAGCAACAAACTTCCATTATTTTCAGAGGAACCCAAGCAAAGACCACTTTTTCAAAATTATATTTTGGTGAAAATTTTCGAAAACTAAACCTGAACCGATATTTACGTTCGTGACATGTTTTCTTCATAATTTTGACCTGATTGTGATTCAGTTGTCAAATTTAGGTTTCAGATAAAACCAAAATCACCAAGAATCAAAATTCGAAAACAATTCCTGGATGTTAAATGTCTCAATTAAATCTGATTGCTGGATTTTACTGTTTTTACTGTGTTTTGCATTTTTAGTACGTTATTATCATGTCACTGAATGATCAAATCAAGGATCAATTGATGAAAATTTAATGCCAATAATTTGGTGTTGGTGGACGACAATGCCCGTCCGCATCGCGCTTATATCGTAAATGAGTATTTAAGGGACCATGATATTGAGAGAATGAATTGGCCACCTTTGTCTCCGGATATGAATCCTATTAAGCATGTGTGGAGCAGGATGAAACTGAAGATGAAAGAGAGGAAAGGACGCATGGAAAATTTGGATGAATTGGGAAGCCATACCCCAGGAATTTCTAAGGAACTTGGTCTAGAGAATGCTCAGGAGGGTTAACAAATTATTACGGGTTAGGGGAGGGCCAACGAAATATTGAAAGTTATTATTGTTTCTTACATTTTTCCGTTGAATGTTGTAGTTTTTATTATGATTATATCTTCGCATAAAATTTTCAAAAATAAACAAACAAATTTGTATTTAACTTTATTACCAATTAGGTAGGTACTTATCAGTAATAAGTTATCACTAGTGCGCAATATAAATGTAATTTATGTAACATTATCCTAACCACTCAAACAAAACTGAATCCCCAAATGGCATTGGCAAAGGCATCTTATTGAGACATTTAACAGCCGGGAATTGTTTTAGAATTTTGATTCTTGATGATTTTGGTTTCATCTAAAACTTAAATTTGACAACTGAATCATATCAGGAGGTCAAAATTATAAAGCAAACATGCCACAAACGTAAATATCGGTACAGGTATAGTTTTCGCAAATTTTCTCCAAAATGTCATTTTGAAAAAGTGGTCTTTGCTTAGTTTCCTCTGAAATTAATGGAAGTTTGTTGCTTGTCGCTTGTTCAGAATTATTTAAGGAACAATCTTTCACCATCTTATCATCAAATGTACTCTTTTGAAAAAAAAAATCATATTTTCGAAAAATTTGAAAAACGTTTCAAGGTAAGACATAATACTTCATTATTTCAAAGTAAAAACTAGAAAAAAATATTTATTTTACAAACGGGGCTTGGATGAAGTTATTGAAATTTTTCACTGTTTTACATATCACCCTGTAGTAAATTTACTTGAAAAACCGTGAGCTTCATATCTATAGCATGAATTGCCAGAGACATCACAAACCAAAATAAAATCGTTCAAGAAATAAAAAAGTTATGTCGTTTTGAAAAAGGACGAAATTTTTGGTCGCGACACATTGACTGGTGCGCAGTTTATAATAATCATTTTTATATATTATAATAATAATAATAATAATAATATTTATTCATGTTATAAATTTTACAATTTTTACATTCGTCAGGTACAGTATATACGTATATAATATTTAATTAGTTAAACCCATGATTTTTTTTTTTTTACACTAAACTAACAGCTAACAATAAGAGTATACAAAAATAAAATAAATAATTACATTATGGCACTCGTTAAAAATTCATTAAAATTATAAAATGCATGTTGTAATAAATATGCTTTTATCACATTTTTAAACAATTTTTTTTCCATACTCTTTACATGAGATGGAAGCTTGTTATAGAATACTGGGACATAGTACATTGTCGAGTTAAAAGATTTTGACAAGCGAAGAAAAGCAGGAAGCAAGTTACCATTGTTTCTTGTATTACATTTTTACAATTTTCAAAATTTTAATACAATTTCAAGAAGATTTTTAAAATGTTTAATGATTCTTACAAACACTTGACACATTTTTAAGCAAAAATACAAACTTAACATTTTTCAAAAATTCTTTATTCATATAAAATAATATAATAAGTTACAAAATACATATAGTATGGTATAGTATATTATAGGGTAAGTGTAACTTCTTTTTAAATTTCTTTACAAATGGAAAAAGTTACTTTATGTTATGGATTATAGTAGGTATATATTATTCATTGTTTAAATTTTTCCCAATTCAATCCCAATTATTTTTTGTTTTGTTTGTTACCTCTTTTTAATAGGTTGCGATAATTTTCGTTTGTTTTCCCTTTTTAATAACACTGTGCGACAAATTTTGACCTTACAATTTGAACTGGGATGAAATGTGGAAAAATCGAATCTATGCAACCCCCAAAACTAATCTTTAAAGGGGTTTTGCTAGTTTAGCTCGAATAATGGAGATATACAGGGTGTTTCTTTTAACTTGAGATAGCTCAATATCTCGAGAAATACGCATTTCACGGAAAAATGTCTTAAATAAAAGGTTAATGTGTCCAAAGGGGACATTATTTGGTGCTACCGCTAGCCACCCCCTACCCCTCCTTAAGGGTGAAACGGGGGGTAACTTTGGAAAGTCAAATGGAATGACCCGATTTTTTTCACAGAGTTTGGTAGTACATAAAAAATGAATAACTTTTATTTGAAAGTTTTTTCAATTTATCAACAGATGGCGCTGTAATTCAAAATTTAAGAAAAAGCGGTTTCCTTGTAAAATGTATTATTTGAAACGTTTGAAAAACAAAAATTAACATTAAATCAACAATAGTCGGCTCTGAAAACAATTTATAACAAATGTTCGAAATGTCGTCCTTTCATTTCGACACCAAGTGGAGCACCAGCGTCCCTGGTCGGTAAACGTTTGGTGCGGTACCTTAAGCGAACGATTAATCGGACCCTTCTTTATTGACGGTGCGTTAAATGGCGAAAAGTACCGGAATTTTCTAGAAAACGATCTGACGGCCCTTTTGGAGGATGTACCACTAGCACGGCTCCAAAACATGTGGTACCAGCAAGATGGTTGTCCTGCACATTATTCGACAATTGCTCGAGAGGTGTTGGATCGGGAGTTCAATGGCCGGTGCACCGCGGTGGATCGGTAGACGTGGTCCAGTAATTTGGCCTGCTCGATCACCTGATCTTAAGCCACCAGACTTCTTCCAGTGGGGTTACTATTGTTGCCTCTTACGATTTGCAGAATGATTTTCTTCAAATCAACCCACAATGGAGTTCAGTCAATTTCGACTTTTAACTCCAACATGTACTAATGAAGCTATATTTTTGTTTTTGATATATTAATTCTTTTTAAGGAGATTTGTTTGACCTGCATATCCAACGATCAGCGCACAGCGTTGATCTCTGGACTCAGGTGAGGAAAATTTAGTCGCGAGCTTCGTTTGTACATTAGGTTTTTTTTTTATTGTGCTAAGTGGGTGAGGCTGTTTATCTATGCCTTGTCTAAGGAGTGAAAACAAATTGTTGACCCTCCTGTCGACTGGCAAAAGAGATGTTGTAATAGCTGTAAAGTAAAGCGTTACGCGTTGAGTTTAATTTTTAAAGCTGGTTATTGAAATAGGACACGTGTCCCCTTTTTTTTTTAAAAGTCATAGTTTTGAAGTTAAATTTAAAATTTTTGAATTCTTAGGTTATTGTTGGTTTATTAAAAATGTTGGGTGGGCAGTGAAAGAGATTTTTTTTTTTTTAAATGTAGTGTAAGAGACTCCCGAGTGGAGCTTGAACGAAATGTTTTAAGTTAATGAAAGGTAAATCTAATGGACAGCTGAGGGCTGTATTTATGGAGGATTTTGGTTAGAGGGAAGTGGAGAAAAGGGAGTGTGAGTTGGTTTTTAGGTGGGTTCTGGTTTCCTGGATTTGGTTTTTATCCAGGGTCCCAGTCTAGGAAGCCAAGAGCTCCTTTATTTCTTGTTTTTCTTTGATTGGGGTCATAATCAAGTAGTTCATCTATTAAGGGGTTTTCTAGTTGATTTGATCTGTCAACTGTATTTCTTACCAGAGTATGTATGTGCTTTCTCAGGCTTGGGAGTTTTAGGTCTGTTCTGAGAATGGTGTTTCGTATGAACCATGGAGCTCCGGTTATATGGCGGAGATATTTATTTTGAATTACGTCTAGTTTGGCCAGGTTGGTTTTTGCTGCAGAGCACCATGCTGCAGTGGCGTATGTGAGTATTGGCCTGACCAGGGAGGTCCAGATCAGTCTCCTATTGTTGATATTTAGTTCACTATTCGGGTGAGTCATTGGGCGTAGAAAAGCTAGACGTTGTTTGGCCTTTTCAATTGATTGTTCAAGGTGGGGTTTCCAGGTTAGTCTCCGGTCTATAACTAGTCCCAAATAAGTGACCTGATTCAGCCATGGTAGGTTTCTGTTTCCATACGTAAGTTGGTCCGGGTGAATTGCGTCCCCTCTTGCTAGAAAGATTGTCTGGGTTTTATCGGGATTTATTTTCATTCGCCATCTG